GTCAAGAAAAACAGTGTAAAAGTTCAACAAGCCTTCAAATCCAGAACCAGACAACCCATCACTACCAAAGAAATGAAATAACTTCTGCTATATTATTTAGAAAAAGCTATTGGGTTAATCATTTATGCACACTTCAACAACGTCTAAAGACAGCAACTCCTTCAAAATCTGAGCCAGCCATCAATATACCACTTTAAAACCATACAGCTGATTGAAAACTTGGACTGATGAACCAATCAGAGAAAAGATATGATCCTGTATGGATCGAGCCAAGAACTAATAATGAACTATCTCCTCAAGATAAAGTAGTGGTATATTAAAAAATGTTTATATTTATACCTATTTTTGTAATTTAATGGTCTAATTTATCTTAATATTAAATTATAAGAATATGAATAAAGAGAATGATGTTGAATAACTCTTATATTTATTTTGGAATAAATAGACTTTCCCATATTATATATATGTGTGCATGCTTGTGTTGAATACGTGATCAGAATTAAAAGTACGAGCTTTGAACAGCAAAAGAGGTCCCACGAATGTTATAGGAGGGAGGGCCAAAAGAATGTGAGAGATGGAGCAGAGAGAATTGAAAGAGCAAGGCAGTTCCCCATATATTCAAAAAGGGTTTGGAGAAAGCGTAAGTGTCTAAAAAGAAGGGAGAGAAGATGGCAACAAATTTAGGGACGCATGCACCCCGTTGCCTCCCTTGACCTTCCTAAACACACATAAAATTGTAACCTCTGGGCCCATTCAATGACCTCCACACAAAACCCATTCCTCCTTCACAAAATCTCTTTCTTCAATCTATTTCTTTATATCTTGGACTATCTCAACTTTATTTTTAAACGTATTTTATTTATATTCCCCTATATCCTCCTCCAAATTAATAATAACAAAATATATTCCCTTTTTCCTTTTCCCTTCTGTTTTTCATTTGTTTATTTGAAATAGGTAAGTATACGTCTCATATTCCTGTAAACGTGAATTTCTTAAAGGGTGATATTGACAGACATTTGCGTCATGTATAAGACACATACAGAGAGAGAGAGAGAGAGAGAGAGAGAGAGAGAGAGCATCGTTGGACAAAATGGGAAAGCGGTAATCACAAATTTGCTTATGTTGTTTCTTTCTAAGTGAATATTATTGTGGGAAAAAAAGTGGAGAAAAAGATAGGTAGCTAGGTATGAGAGTAGGAAGTAGCATGGTAACCAAACGAAGGAGATTTGATTCGGGAAAGATAAAATTAGAGATGAGAGAGAGAGAGAGAGAGAAAAGAAGAGTAGAGAAGAGAGGTAGCACACTTTTGAAAGGCCCATGTGGAGAGCATGTGGGGATTGCATTGTGCTCTTTTTCTTAAGGCAATGCCAAATCCCAAGTGCCCGGGAATTTGAATTCCCGTGGGACCTGATGCATTCCTATCACCATGTTTTCCGGATCCTGCCATTTTTCTTTTCTTTTCTTTTCTTTTCCCTTCATCTTCTCTTCCTCCAACCAACCCCAAACCCTAGCTACTTATTTTCCTTCTCTCCATTTTCTATTATCTTCATCTACTCATCCATATATATCATTCCCTTGCTTAGTGTTAACCCTACTCAAATGGTATAATCCCTGCAATAAATTGTTCAGTTATCAGAATTTGAACTAAAATGTATAAGAATAGAAGAACTTATTGTGTTGATCAATCAGAGATATCTGTCCTTCGAATTTAAATACAATCATACAAATGAAATTAGTATATAGCTACTTTTGATAGGGGTATTTATTTTATAATTTTATTTGCTTGAAATGGGAGAAAAACATGAAGTGATGTAGACTTTTGTAGGCTAACTCATAAACAGAATGCTGGGTGCCTTGACTGGATGACCTATAAAAGCATATTTACCACATTCTAACTCCAACATTCCAGAAACATAGCAAATCAGATTACTGTGGAGAAAGTTTATTTTACCTTTTTCCCCTTGCTGGTGCTAGTTATATAGCATAATAATTAATAAAAATAACGGCACATGAAATCATTTTTAATTATGATTTGAGAACATGCCACATGCATGAGAATTGTATGGTAGCCAAACATTAGTTTGCATGTCAACCAATCCGAAATGAAGAGTGCGCATTTCATGCCAACTCCTAAGGCTGTGCTGTTGTTCTTTTATTGCTATCTATCAAATCAAATCAATGAAGAAATCATCCATTCATTTTTCCTTTTTCTTTTCCTATTTGCAGATGAAACCATTGTGCTTCTTCAACTATTTAACGTCATTACAAACAATACACTAACTTTCTAAAATGAGTATTCATTGTGCATGTGAAAGAAGCTATACATGACGACGGTGCTATATTAAATCTATGCATGCGAGGGTTTAGCAGGTAGGGAAACAAACCAAATGCTTCCCTTTCTCTATTATTGATTTATGAAATAAGTAGAATAACCACCAAATTTTTTAGCAAACTGCTTTTAAAGACAGAATAGAGTTACATAGCAAAATGGGGTTCACCAAATAAGATACACGTCTTATCATATCTTACAAGAATGACTTCTTATTTATTCGAAAATAAAACAATAAATTTAAATCATATAACTTTCTTAAACAGTCAACATTTAAAATCATAAAATCACTTAAAAATCATGTCTTTTATCTTTTTATATACATACATATATATATATATATATATATATATAGAGAGAGAGAGAGAGAGAGAGAGAGAGAGAGAGGAGGGGTTAAAACTTAGATACTTTTTTGTGACGAGTTTGTGTTGTTTTTAATATATTATTAAATTATTACTATGCTCAACCTTTAATTTTTATCAGAGAATTATATAAATTGAAAAATAACATAAACCAGAACAATGTATGTGTTAGGGGGTAAAGAAAAATGCTAGTAGTACTCTTTCTCACTACATTTCATTGTTTCTAAATATATTAAAGCTGTTCAAATTTATTAAAAATCATAGATTTTAATGGACTCGTTTCTTATTTAATGAGTTTTCCTACTAGTATTTTACTATGTTATTTAAATTTTTATTATTAAGAATGTCAATTGAGTTTATTTAATTTTATTGATTCGTATGATAAAAAATAAAATTTTTAAATTGTCCTCAATTATATTTGTTGAGAACAGTGTCTGAGTTTAACCATAAATATATTTTAAAATAATAATATTAAGCTAAATAATATTGCGTTATTTTAAACTTGCTTATAATTAATGACTCTTTTTATTTATATTTCAATATAGAGGAAGTAGGCTTTTAATATATCTCAATCAATAATAAATTGTGTATTAAAGATTAATTGGAATCATGTGTCAAACTTTTTATACTTACACCACTTAAAAATTTTGCAGAAAATGAAATTAATCAATTTTATTGTATGGTGAGTTAAATTTTTATATAAAGTAGCTAAAGATTCATTTTTTTACTCAATTACAGTGTTTTATTTTAACAGATCTGTGTTATGAAATATATATATATATATATATATATATATATATATATATATATTCAGTTTATGTGAAATTTGATCTACATATCATAAAAAATTAATATCAATCAATTAAATTGTTGGATTATTTTTTTTATCAAACAAAAATTAGTATATATACATATAGTCATGATTAAGTCATGTTTGATATTTTAACCATAATGATCAATAAAGTTTCCACTATCCAACCATGATCAATCTAAATCGAGTTTTCACAAAGTTTATAGGAAAAAGAATTGCTACCGTGCTAGCACTAAAATCTGCATATCATGACAGATTATTTTAGAAAAAAAAATTATACAACAATACAATAATATATATTTTTATCATGAAAGATGAATATATATATATATATATATATATATATAGAGTGCATTAAAAAAAAAAAAAAAAACTCAGATCCTAGTTTCACAGGAACATAAAGAGAAACCTGACAAAATATTGATATTTTGAACATGTTAAAAACAATATTAAAAATATAATCATGTGATCAATATCTTGCCTTATAAATTCTATAATCTAATAAATGGAACACGTCATGATTAAAGCATGTTATATATATTTACTTCATTAATTATTGCATAAAAAAACTTTTCTATCTAAGTGACCAAATAGAATTTTCACTGAACTTCTTTTGGTACGATGAATAATAATGTTAATATATTTTGAGAATATCAAAACACAACAGATTAAAAACGCAAGCATGTAAATCTTATTTTGGGAATCAAATCATTGTGATTAGTTAGTTTAGTTGAAAACTGAATATGAGAATTTATTGCGGAAATGAATTAAGTATAGAAAATACAAATACATCCTATTCCATAATTTAATCACCCTAAAACGGAGGGCACATTTAAAAAGATAAAATAAAAAGCTATGATGATTAATTAAAAATAATTAATAGGAATTTTGATAAGGTACAATCTTTCTCTCACGGAGTTCCACTCGCGGGCCATAGGAACATTGTTTCGAAGTGAGTCGTATTTAGTGAGTTTTGTTTGTATTCAAAACAAAGATACCAATGTTAGGTTTGCATTACATTAAGGTCACCTTTATTCTTCTTTACCACTAATCTAAATACATTGTTTTCTTTATAATGTAACATTATTCTCTATGGTTTTGGGTAGTGGGCCAGGGACTCCATGTGCCAGCATGTGCTGTGTCTTTCTCTCAAAGCCCCACCACTCTCATCTTTCGAGCACATAAATTCCTTCCCTTCTCACTCTTCCTCTTCCCAACCCCTCTCCCTCTCTATCTTTCTTAGATCCTCATCATACACCACTTTGCTTCATCTGTAACACTGCAACGTCACTCACCAAATCTTACTCTTCTTTTTGCTTTCTCCATCTTCTACTCTTTCTTTCAACAATTTCATCAAGGTATGCCTTAACTACTCCATTTTTTTATTTTCTAGTTAATTCCGAGTAATTAAATCACATTAAATTGAATTTTCTCTAGCTATATCAAGCCCTAGTGCATCTCCTCACCCTTACACCCCATATTGTGAATTCCAAACAGAATGCGAAATATCAACTCGGTGAAGCGAGAATTCCTCAAAAAATGGATGTGGGGTATCAGAAAATACAGCTCTCAGAAGAAGAACATGAGTCTGTTGGAGAGAAAGAAAGCCATAAAGCTGTCAGCAGATTTGGCCATGGCTTCCACCAGAAACAAAACCACTCGCTGGAGCAAGGCCCTCATAGCCAATGCTTCCAAAGACGGCAACAACAAAGTCCACACGGAACACGTGCTAGGCTCATCACCACCGCCACGGAGGGTAAGGAAAAGCTCCACGAATTATTCCCACGGCACAAGGATCAGAAGCTGCAGAAACACCTGGAGGAGAAACCGTGCAGTCCACAGACCAAAGGATAGGTCGGTGGCGAGTTTCATTGCCAAGAAGCTGGTCCAGAAGAGAACCCGAAGGCTCAAGAGTCTCTTACCAGGAGGAGAATTCATGGACGGTGTGTCTCTGGTTGAAGAAACCCTAGATTATATACAATCACTGAAAGCTCAAGTTGAAGTAATGAGATGTCTTGTCACTGCCTCAGAGCTCATGATCCTCAATCCATCGTAAATATCTCTATAGAATATACAATTATAATCAATCCAAAAGCTTTTTTATATTATGTTTTTATAATATTATGTTTTAATATTTGTTTTCTCTGGTTTTTTAAATTTGCCCACATCACATTTTCTCTCTTAGGGGTGGAGAAAATTAAAACGAGGCGTTCCCATGTATACGCTAAGGCATTGTACAGAGGTAAAACATATATCCAAGTTAATCAAATTAAGTTTTTATTTTCATCATCATGCTCTCTCCTCCACTGGAAGTTATGTTGATTAGTGGTATAATTTTTATTTGCGTGTTGATCTTTGATTCGTCCACTTTTCTTTTGCTTTTATCGTCGTATGTCAATCTGTATGTATCATTTAACCGATATAAGGAAATTGACAATACATGTCAACCAATTTGATGCTTTGCAATAAACAGCAAATTAAACACGTTTGCTGATTAATTATCTATGTCTGATATGCTGGTTGTTATTATATGTGTGTCTACGTCTCCATATATTATAATCATAACACTAACAAAGTAATTCATTGCTCGTGTACGTATGCTCAATGCTAAGGGGTAAAAGAGATGAAACCATTTGCAGAGGTAAATCCATTTCATATGCCAAGTGGAGTATTGATTTTCCAGGCTACCATGGTTTTCTATACCTGATTTTAGTCAAGAGTGATGCATATTTTCAACTATTCAGGTTTATAATTAAAAATTGCTTTTACGTCGAAATGCTTCTAAGAATAAATAAATTTTAAGTTTTATCTGAAAAAGTTTATTGCAAATTAATATGTATAGTAATTAATATTAATTTCTGCACTAATTATTTTTTAAATCATATCAACAATGACTTTTTTATTATTATTTTGAATAATACAAGCAAAATCTTTTTTCTTTTCTGCTTTGGTTTACTAAGGATATGCTGGCACAGAAATATTAACTAACATATTGTTAGACATCAATTCATATACACAAATCTTTATATAAAATGAATTACTATATATATCTTCAACTACCTATATGCATTATCTACATTTTGATCTCGCGTTCTAAGATTGAATGAACAATTTGTTAATAAAAACATTTATGGATTATTTGTCTTTGTTTCGCTGATTTTTTTAGAATAAACTTTAAAATAGAAATTAAACTATATATATATATATATATATATAATTTCTTATGAATAATAACATTATTATTTTTTGTATAATGTATCTTGCTATTAGCATAGACGTATCTACATCAATAATTGAGTTTATATTATATGAGATTTATATTGATGGAGACAGGTCAGATCATAATTCATTAGTGAATGAAACAAGAATTGTTTTAATAAAAATAATAAGCAAAAAATTATTAAGAGTGAGATTATAATTCATGAAGATATTCACTACTACAAAAGTAATATTTAATATCGGTTTTGAAAAGTTTTTTAAATTGGATATTTCAAACATGGGTTAAAATACTTAATTTTGCTTGACTCCAATCAATTTTATTAGATATGCCCTCATATTTAGCAGCTAAACCCTCGTAGCATTGGTTAAAAATAAACACACATATTATTAACTTTTCAGCGTAAGACTCAAACATTCATGTGTAATTGTCACGAGAGAAGTCAACGTATTACAAATTTGAACTTACCTGATTTTGTGGCTTTCAAATTTGCATCAGGGTTTCCTTTGAAGAAAACAAAAGAAGGCAACTACATCCTCCTTAGGACACACAATCACAAATTGCCTATACTGCTTAATATCATCGATGTTGCCAATATTGCCTAATAAGATTAAACTTTTTTCTTATGTTTCACTCACTTTGTGTAAGCTCTACATGGACCTCTCTTTCTTATTCATACATTTGATCACAATGATAGTGGTGATATATACATAATTGTCTATCATAATCAACTCTGCACTCAAAGAATAAAATGATATATATTTATTCGATATTTCATCAAATTTAACAAAACAAACTTAATTTTTATATATACTCACGTTACACTATATTCTAAAGCTATGGTTATATATATCAATGTTCCAATCGAACCCCGATGACTAAGTTAGTGTTGTCTTTTTCACTCACATCTAGCATATGTTGTCATCGCTGAAGATCAGTATAACAAATTGGTTGAAAGTTTTTAAAATATTTGTGAAGTTTCTAATAAATATAAAATGAAGCTTCTTGCAAATTTCTCTAACTAAAATAAGTCTTTTTCGTGGTGGATTGGCAATGTGGTCTTAGGCAGGAATACTTAATGGATGAGTTATATAAATTAATAGAATTATGAAGAAGTAGGAGAAACCCTGGCCACTCCTTTTTGAAGCTTGTCCCTCACATTAGCTGTTATAAGACTTACGCCATTAATTAGCGACGAAAATGCTTCCACGCTAATTAATTGGTATCACGGCAACGTGTTGTTACCATAATGAGCTTTTTGAAGTGGATGCTTCAAAAGCATATACAGTCCCGTCATAATTTTAAACTTTACTAATTATTCCATCACTTTCTTAAATGTTTTTTTTAGATAATTATTTGGTATGCCTAGTATAATTTACATGGTACTCTATGGATTTTTCTACATGCAAAATACGGCTTATTAATAAAATAAATGTTGAAAGAGAGGTTGCTAAGTTATTACTCTAGTCAGGGAGTAATTGAGTCAAAATAAATCTTAAAAAAAAAAAGTGAGGATAAATATGAAATGTTGAAATTGTAGATTCCTTTATTTGAACATTTAAAATAAAATTGTAGTGTGCAAAAAATAGGAATTTTCAAAGCACATACATCATCGTCTAAAACAATCCAACGATAATTATAAAAATATAAATATTTATGTTTTTCATTATAATTGTGTTTCAATAGACAAGTATTTTTTTCAACTAATTAGTACATAAAAGTTTTTTATAATAATTTTTTTAGTTTCTTTTCAAATATTTGAATTAAATTTTGATGTTAAAATGAGAAAAATATATTTACGTTGAAGTAATTAACCAACTTAAATTTATGTCTCACAATATCATAATTAACGTAAAATTTTACATTTAGATCTTATATGATTTCAAATCCATCTATCTAATCTTGCAGGAGAGAAACTTGAGATGGAAGGAGATCTTTGACAATTTTAAACCAGCACGATTTTAAATTATATCTTACATGATTTCTCGCGTAATAACACCAATTGCACACAATAATCTCTTCTTTCTTATGTTAATCTCGTTTGTCATTAAATAATTACAATTTTTATAAAAAAATTAAAACATAAAACACTAATCCTAATTACAAAATAGGTATCTAAATACTCTAATCCAATTAAAAAAAATCTTAAAAATCACCAATGAATTATAATAATAATATACTTCACCGTAACAAAAAACTTATAAAACTTATGATATCGTCATCATTCACCTGTACAAAAAATTCTCATGTACATGAAATCCTACAAAAATATAAAATATTTTTTTATTAAATAGTACTATATAAAAAATATATTTTAATTTTAAAAATATTATCATATTTTTATTACGCTGGAATTTTAATAATCTAATAAAAAAATCATGTAACAATATTTTTTTCACTTGTAATTATAATTAATTCCAAGTAAAATTTTCTCTTTTTATAGAAAAATAAAAATATAAATTGACAAACAAGTATTCTGGCTATCATCGATGAGTTATTTTGAAAGCATTGTAGTCTAATGAGGTTGATCATTGAGAAATGTGAACTGAATTAAAGTCGTGAGAGTAGGAAAACAGGAGTTAGGTGATGACTTAAATCAATCTTTTCATAATACTAATAAGAAAAAGAAAAGTATATATTCTTCCAAAAAAAATTGACAAGTAATCAATTATTTTCAATTGACAATGTGCATTAATTACATCTTACAAAAATATGAACACGAATAATCTCACCAGCTCATCTAGAATGACCTGTTTCTCCTCATTTTATTAGTATTGTAAATGTACATTTTTAGAAGGACATTTATATCATTAACTACGAAAGTGATTCTTCACCAAATTTATATAAATTGAAGATGAATAATTGGTTGGGATGAATGTTAAAATAAAATGAATAGATTTTGATAAGATGTATATATTTAGGAAATAGTATTATGATTAGGGTATGGAGAGAGGTGGAATGACATGAGAGGATGGATTAGGGAAATCTCTTGACTTGGTCCCTTTCTGTCAAACTATAACTTTGTTGGTTGACAGCTATTAGTGATAGATAATAATGATGCCTCCTTAGTTATTTTAGTTAATTGGTCTACATTTACTTTCCCTTTTTTATACGCACCAATCAAATCATCACCAACAGCTATCACATATTCCGTCTTTCATCCTCTATGCTGTGTGCCTGTGCCAAGAATCAAACAATGCCACTCTCTCTACACCAAAATAAACTTTCAATTTGTATATATTATTTAATTTTATTATTTTAAATGTTATATTTTCTAATATAAATATTATTTTCAATAAACATAATTTTATACTTGAGAATAATAAAACTGAAATTTTTTTAACAGAAAGATAGACGAATTTGAGAAACATAATCATGTTAAAATATAACTATTACATAATCATGTTATTATATTATTAAACATGGTTATCTAAATGGATGTATTCTGTATACTAGTTATCAAAATATAATTTTTAGAAACATCATTTAGGAAGAAAATGTTAAATTTAAAACATATTTTTTCCTTTTATTTACATTAAATGAATTTTCAGAAATAATAAACCATGTCTCTTCCCATAATCGTATAATTATTTATATCTCATTTTTTAATATTTTATTTAAATATTGATCATGTGAAAAGATATTAAAATATTTAATTAATTAAAAAATATTTATTTTTATATTTTTAAATTTTTTTAATCCAAACAACTTTATTTTTTTGTGTTTCTTTTTTCTCAAAAATTGAGATCAAAGACCAAATGTATTTTTGAAAACTAAATAGAATAGAATAAAATCAAAATAAGATTTAAAATAGAAAATAGAATATTAATAAAATATTA